CCCCCCCCCCCCCCCTACCCGCTGCACTTTAATCGCACCTATTTTGCTAGAATATTTAAACTTTGCCACTATTTCTCAGTGATCACAGCTACACAAGAATATTAGCTAAGGTAATGAAGTGTGAGACATTGAAACTCCCTCAAAAAGCTGTAAAAGAAGGACTGGAATCCTGGGGAGCATGGTCCAAGGAATACTTGTTATTTCATTTCTGAAAATTCTTTCGATAGAAAACCAGGAAATAAAGCCGTGAAGTTTCATGCTTGAGCTAACAGCCTAACCCGTCCTCGCCTCGACTTTGTTTCAACTTTTTGTCGACACCGTTGAAAGTTCTTGACACTAAGTGATCGCACCTTTATACAAACGTTACTTCAAGTAGACGTGAAACGGCAATTTTTTTAAAATCGTTCCAAAGAAAAGCTGAGTTGGCTTTTCCGTCGAAAGTGTTGTAAATCCATTCTGTCGATTATGTATTAAGAAATTGAAAGATCCTAATTGACCAAGGATTCGAATATCTTTGGATTAATAAAGGACGTAAAAAAATGTCCACTGTTTCTAATTACGCGCTTTAAATCAATACGAGATTTCTGGACACATTATTGCTGACTTTTTCAAGCTACAATGGTACTTACTTTTGATTCAAGGAGCTTGCAATATTTAGTGATATCCTCCAAGAAGAGGTCAAAGGCTGTGCGATTGATAAAGTGAAGATCGAATGGTTATGACTATTCATCCAACATGGTTCAGCAAGCTAATCCAATGATTGTGGTTCAGTGATTGAATTTATAATCAAACAGGATCGATGTTATCGTGTGAAAATTTTCGAGAATATCTCTCAGACCATTGATTGTAAGAGCCAGAGGTAATGGTGACGGTCGGGAGTCAAAAACAGCACGTCTTGCAGCGAGACAACTAACTCAGGCCACCGAGGCATGGAACGCGGCGAGGCAACTAGCTACTAGTAGTTTTTACGCGCTGTGGGCAGCTTGGGGCCCCTTAAAAGTCCCAGTCACGAGTGTGGAATGGCACTACTGCTCCGTTAAAATGTACTGCCGACAAAGGATAAGGTGTCGCAGACGAATCGAAGTCATTATGGATATATGGATATCGCGATTCTCTTGATATTTCTTCACTTTGAATATCGTCAGTAATGGTAGGCTGACCATGCCGTGCATATGACTACCGTAACTTGCTTATGTTTCAAGACCCAACGATTAACCATAATCGAGTGAAGGTTCCTTCAACATAGTTCAGATTCTAGGCTACGCATCTATTTGCAGAAGGAATTGCAATCCTTGATAAATTTAGGCTACGAATACATTTGCAAAAGGGTTTGGAATAATCTGAAGAAAAACAAATGAGAACCTCTTCACCGAAGTTCCATTCGAATCGTGCCTTTTTATGATGCCCCTTCAAAAGTTTGAGAAGGCGGCCGCTCTTAATGCCCGCTAATAACGGCTAGCGCAGATGAAAATAATGCTATTCGGACGAATTTCGCACTCAATTTCGACTCCGCCTACTTCTTATTAACTTGAATATATATGGATCCTTCAGACTGGATTCAGAAGAATGCTCTGCTAGGGCGTCACCTCCGCCTGAACATCTCTATCGACTAGTCCATCTCCTTTAGAAACTCCGATATACATCAAAATAGATGACTTTTTCCTGCGGACTATTGTAAGGCCGTCAGATACGTCGTCTCTAATCCGTCAAAAAGAGCGGTCTTGAAAGGAACGTTGTACTGGAGAATTTCGCGATAACGCCGTGAACAAGCAAGAGCATAAAAACTTGTGAATACCCTTTTTTGCTCTTAATTCTACGTGGAACTCAAGTATTACTGTACTTTCATAGTCTGAGAGAAGTTCTTCGAAACCTCAAAGGAGAGCTGGATCAAAATCAACGACAACAGCCCTTGTATCTCCTAATCACGGCTAAACGCTGACGAGCGAGAAAGAAAAGTATAGCCACATAGAGATCATCGATCTAATGTACGAGATGAAGAGAAATCTAGTTCAAGTTGGGCTTATTTAACGAAAAATGCGTTATAAAAGTTACAATAAACTTACCACTTGTAAGTATGGGTGACACAAAGGCAGCTAGTACAAAAATCGCCAACACCATCGTGTTTGGGCGACAGGTGTGTACCCGAGAAAAGTGGCTCGGCGAATCGTCGCCGATCTGGCTCCGCCTCTTGAGTGTCGCGCGCGCCCGCAATTTGCGATACGCAGATAACGGGGCGGGCTCAGAGGACTCCGCCCCTTTGCATGACTTTCGAGTGACAAAGGAATTACTAGTAGGGCAACATATCTTCGAACCGACATGGTTAAAATTACGAGGAAGTATGCGAAGACAGATAGCGGTTTATGGACCATCAATTCTGGGTTGAACGAGGTTCTGTAGGCGACAACATTCGTCTGCGGTTCATTGTCGAAATTGTTGTTCATGCTTTGAATTTTGAAGAATTAGAAAAAAAGCTGGTGGAGAAACTCAGGTTTCCGTTACCATCGGTGTTACCAAAGCGCAAATCCCGGAGAACTTGTTGGGCATGTCGCGACATCCATAAATCACAAGCACCGCATAGCATCTGCACGAGACAGAGTTGGCGAATGGCGATTAAATCGTTGACTGGGTCACAATTATGGCCAACTGTAGACGATTGTGGACTTCATGAAAGGAATCCGGTTCTTGGGCTCGATTAATGCTTCTGAATAGTATTTGGTCAAGAATGAGAATTCTACCCATAGGGTCTCTTCGAGGACGAAACCTAAAATTCTCAGAATAAGTTTATCTCGTGCGGAGACCACATCAGCGTCGTTCAATGGTTGTGATTAACAACTGTGGCAACTTATCTGAACCTACATAATGGCTACTATCTTCTTCACAAGGAAGTAACATTATTCAGTATCCAGCTGTAAAGGTTCAAATCCCGGATCGATATCTGCCTAGGCCAACCAAGCCTTCCATACCTCCGAGGTCGGTTAATTGGTACCAGGCTTGTCTGGAGGNATGCATTCAATACTTCGCTACGATTCTGAATGGAAGTCGAATGCGTGCGCGCATCCCTCAGACGAGATTGATCAGTGCCCCAAGACTTTATCCAAGACTTTAGTCTCTATCCAGCTGTAAAGAAGAGCAGAAACGAAACGGTCACCTGAAGCTGTTACATCTTTTGCGTATTTCCGGTTTCTTTCAAACCTGTCATCTTCAACGGCGTGTTATGTCTGTACTAGAAAAGCAGAGAGTTCTCAAGCTACAGAAGCCTAGTTTTCCGGTAATTTTCGATATTTTTCGATGAAGATCGGTGTAAGGTCCATGAGGAGTAGACAAGTAATGCCGTTTTCTGAGCCAGCAAAACTGGGCGAGGGAGCGATCATGGCACACCGGAGAGAAAATAACACCTGGAATAAGAGAAGTCCTGTCTGGAATGGCTGAACACTAGGTTCCCGTCGTCAAAGATCTGTTCCGGCTCTTCCATCACTATCTGTCTGAATATGAGGGAAAACTTCTCGGTCATTGAAGTTTCCGTTGTAGTCCTGGGAAGGAGGTATGGACGGAACCGGCATGGGCTATGGTTGTGCTCCAATTCTTAAGGCTTCATACAGGATCTGAGCCTTTAGTAGAGTGTGTTTGAGGTTCCCCGTGAGGGTGTAGTATCTTCCTACTCCTTCTGACAATTGAAATCTCCCATGAGTTTGAGGATTGAAATTAGCTTCTGGTTCAGAATCTCTACAAATCATCAGAGTGAGTGGCTTCTGGGCCGCAGCCTCCCCTACGGGCTTCAAAGGTGTGCATCCA